AGTGACCTGTAAGGAGGCCTGTTAGACATCGTAGTTCATCCCTACTGTAGTCCAACAACTGTTTGGTTTCAAGCTTCGAAAGGTGAATGAACGCCTTGGAGTGAGCCAATCATGAACGATTTTCCCATCTAGGTGTTCAACGTTTGTTTGGCAAAACGTAAAGCAATGCCAATGACAGGTTCTGGTCCGATGAAGCTATATGCAACACCTTCCTTTGCAAGGGAGTCAGTATCCTCATTGCCTTCCAGGCCAGTGTGGCCAGAAATCCAGACTAGAGTCAATTTGTTAAATCCTTAATTAAGGATTATGACAATTTCCTACCAACTTAGACGTCGCTCGGTAGGAGCCAAGAGCTTCCAACGCCGATTGACTGTCCGAGAAAATTTTACTTGACTTGTGTGTGAGGTTGAATTCCACCAGTCTCTCTGCACACACTTCAGTAGCTTAGATCTCCGCTTGAAATACAGACGTATATGTCCCGAGGCAGGTTAATATCGCTGACCTGGGTCTGCAACACTTGCACCAGAGCCCAAAGGTGTTTTTGATCCATCTGTGAACCAACAACTATCTGCTGGATTTTTTTCCCAACACCTAACCATTATTTTAACACCTAGACACGTGTTTCGAATACCAAGTGTTCATCTTCAAGAGGAAGATCAAGTTCAAGAGGAAGATCAGTTCAGGAGGAAGATCAGTTTGATCTTCCTCTTGAAGATGATCACTTGGTGATCGAAACACGTGTCGAGGTGTTGAAATAACGATTTAGTGTTGCGAAAAAATCCAGTAATATTCATTACTACACTAAAGGTTTCAAACATTGTCATGGGATTTCTGTAAAATTCACCAGAAGTATTTTGAAAAAGAACAAATGTAAATGCTAAAGGATACGCAAAGTTCATCAGCTCAATGAAAGGGATTACGGAAGGAGAGTACGATTTGCGAAGTGGTTAAGATGTAGAAATAGGGAAGTAGAAAATATTTGTAAAAAATAATATGAACGGACGAATCAAAATTCACCAACAACGGTTGGTTTAACAGAAATATTCATTATAGGTGGAATAATACAAATGAACATTTACATAGGGAAACCCATTTCCAAAAAAAGTTCGGAATAAATGTTTGGTTTGGAATTGTGGGAACAAACATCCTTGGCCCTTTCTTCTACGATGATCATTGAATAGTGAAATGTATTTTGATTTTGTATCCAATGAATTCGATGGCTAGATGAATTGCTACTGAATATCCGCCATGAAATACAATGTTTTCAGTAGGACGGCGCTTCTCCCCATAATGCAGCAAGAGTAGAAAATTTTTTAGATGCAATATTCCCAAGAAAATGGATTGGAAAAAATAGATCAATCAACTGGCCAGCTCGATCCCCAGATCTCACTTCTTTAGATTGTTTTGTCCTGGGATACATAAAGGATAAAGTTTTTTAACACCAAGTACAGATATCAACCATCTCAAACAAAAAATGAAAGATGCATGTATTGGTATTACACCTATTAGGTATGCTAGAAAATTGCCACAGAAATTGGCTGGACCGACAACTTATGTGCATTCAACAAAGAGGTCTTCAATTCGAACTTTAAATGTAGATTGCCATGTAGCTTTAATTTTCCGTATTGGTTTCATTTTTCCCAAAAGTTCATGATAAAATAAATTGTTTTTCTGTTTGATTGTTATCACTGATGATGGTGGTTATTTCAAATGAAACGCTATAAACGCTATATCAAATATGATATACCCTTGGATTGTAAATGTATCACTTTATCAATATCTGTAATAAGAAAGACAGGCTGGTATTGAAAAAAAAAGTTGATGGTGGCCATGTTGACAACAAACATTTTATCGGATATTCATCATTACTTCCTCATGGTACACTTCGAATACAATAGCATTTTTTGACCATTGTATTGTTCCCGATGACAGTTATCATTTTTCCTATTTAATCGTCTTCGTATCTGTTACGGTTCAGAATATAGCAATGTTACTACATGACAAAAGAAACGGCCTGTATATATATTTGGTCTAATTTTTTAAATTTGGATCTCGCTATCAACAGTAAAATCACCAAATTCTTCAATGTGATAAATTGAATTGTTTCACAGCATTATGCACAGTTACGGCTCCCAAGGAGAGAATTCAAGTTATCGGTCAGCTACATCGACCTACTCGAAGAATTCATCGCCGACGTCGTACATAATCAAAGGCTTGGACGATTTATGGCAAATGGACTTAACCGATATGCGACAGTGCGCTATTCAGAATCTAAATTTTAAGCTAACTGTCATTGTCGTCGATTATTTTTCTGAATATGTATGGACCCGACTGCTCAAAACGAAAACCGGGGGAAAAGTACCAAAACGATTTCGAATAACCTGATACAGACAATACTACTATAACAAATTCCAGAGTCTAATGAAAGAACACGAAATGAATCATAACAATACGTATAGCGTCAAGAAAGCTGCAATAGCCAATATTGTGTGATAAAAACTTCGAAAAAAAAGCTTTACAAATATTTTAGTTTGAAAGGTACAAATGAATAGACGTACGGCATCTAATTACTACCCAATATATACGTCACAACAAATGGGCTACAACTTCCCCAAATGTCAATAAAAAGCATTGGACTACGGAATTATTCAAAATTATCAAAGTCTTACCAACCCTGATACCTTCATATTGGAATATATGCTCGGAACATCTATTTATCCCAGCCAACAAATATTATTCAAAACAATAAAAGCATAAACAGTTAGTAACAAAGAGATATTCAGTGAAGATTATAACGAGAATTCTAAGTGCAATAGACAAGAGCGTTGGGGGCAATACGAAATGGCTGCTTGAAACGAACACCAATTGCTGTTGATGACCTTACCCGTATCATCTTATGGAATTCAATGTGGTTTAAGCCCATCCAGAGACTCCAGTTCATTGATATCCTGCAAGAGACTTTGATCACAAATCGATGGTTATGTAGACGAATACGATCCAGTCGCATAATGATGCGGGGATTATATTTACGTTACACAGAACATCGAAAGTAATACCAAACAGATTTTCATTCATAATGATATTATGAACATGTAACTGTCTCACAAGTTGTAAATGACGTCCTGAATACTCACCTTGGTGCCATGAACGTCCGTGATTATTATCGAGATGTTACATTATCCAATCATGGTTACATGAAAATAAAACCAATTTAACTTCAGAAAAAATTATAGGTTTTGGTCAAGCCTCATCTCAAGAAAGCCTGTATGCTAATTGCTTACGTGAATATTCATTTCATTATAAATAAAAATTAGTGTATGATTCATGTAATATATGAGACACACAATTCTGGTTTTTTGAGTTTTTTCAATTGATAGTGATCGAACATTCGAATATTTATAACCCTTTTCTAATGAATCAAACATCGTTCGATGGAACGTCACGTTAATTTCATTGAATAAAAACGAAATGAACATAGTTTTCATGCCATGAATAATTAAAAATATCATAACCTCAATGATCAATGCGTGCACAATGACGACTGTCATAACCTAATAAACCCAAAATTGTCAAATTGTTCGATCCTTGATTTTTCTCCACAAGAGGGTGCGGGAAAAAATAAATGCATCAGTCCTTGAGAGTGGTACACTAGATACCAAGCATTTATTGATATGGAACTCGAGATAGGCAACGGTCCACTTCTGAAAGAGACGTTGCTCTGATAACAAAGAGGATGTGCAGCTTTTAGACGGAAGCATACTGCATCACCGGGATGCCCGAGAGACGTATACTCACCTAGGGGTGAAACTTACCCAATCACAACTTAATATTATTTTCGACACTCAGCGAGCTGACTATAACTCTGCCACCGAGTTAGAATCTGTTCAGCAAAAGGCCCACATGAAAGTCGCCGTTATTATCTTTCTCCTGTCCCTACACAAAGATAAGCCGATGCATGTGGGCTTCTTCAACATTATTGGAGATTTCAGCTTATGAAAGCACTTGATCGTTTCCTGTCTCAGATACAAGAGTTTTAGAAAACTGGCCTTTTTGAATATCGTCTTTCTTACCTTGATCTATCGCTGATACAGCTGATTTTGAAAAATAAAATAGTGTTGAATAGAGAATTGAAATAACTATCAATTGAGTATCACAGGTCCCTTGACATTTGAACACACAAGATATTGTTATATGTTATATATAGTAATGCAATGTCATTTTGTTTGTGACTTCCTATTTCTCCATCTCCCACAAAAATTGTGGGAAACTTCCATAGAAAGGAACAATTAAGTTCAAAATGAACTCTATAGTTGGAATAAGATACTCGTTTTATTGCCTCTTATGCATCAATCTGGTCAACATTACTCACTCAACTCATTTATAATATTATGATTTCATGTCACAAATGAGTTGAATCTACACATGTCATCGATGACACTGGGTTCAAAATCTGTTTTTCCGTTAACCAGCTGTCGCACCCCTACGAACGACAACCCTCAGAAGTTGAAACTTGTGCGAGCTAAGGACTAACGAGGTCTTACCTTTTAACGTGTGATTCCTAACACGGATGATAGCAAGTGGAAATCGATCGTTCAGCCTGGGGTTTGAACCAGCGATTCACACGGCGGTCAATTTGAGTGAGTGAACAAAGCACCCACGTCGAACCAACCGGCTACCCTCCGAGTAATGACATTCATTCGCTTATTCGATTTTATCTCAGCCATAGGAGTCTTGTTTATATTGGAAAAGGTATATTTTCAGCTGATAAAGAAAGGCTTATTTTCAAATGAATTGCTTTCATCCTTCCTTTGAAACTTTCCCACATTTTTTTTTTCATGAACAAGGAGAAGTTGAAAGCCACAACCTTTCTTTTTTTACGTTGATTTTGTTTGATTTTGATATCGTGTCCCTTTCAAAAGTTGGGGGAGAGGGGGAACTACTGAGTTACGTCCACAGTAACAATTAAATGGAACTTACTAATTTTTTCTTTTCGATTCCAGATCGTTGTGGATGCCCTACGACTAGCCGATAAAGCAATTTGGAATTGCATGAGTCCTCAAATGATATTGCTGATGAACGAAGACGACAATTACTCATTGAAACCTTTCGCTCCAATGCTTCGTACAAATTTAAGGAACACCAATTGGAAGATAAGAGAGTCTTCTGTGAGTCTCATTGCAACAATTTCTGCGAATGCAATTGCAAGTGAGTACGAAATTTTCAATAGAATAATAACAATAATAACCTAGAAAAAACAAAAGCCGACGAAAATAAGCACACTTTCCATAATGGTCATTTTGAAAAGCTGGTCAGATCGGTTGAATATTAAATTTGTGGACGAAAAAAACTTTTGTGTGAATTTTCAAATGTCCCACTTTTGTCTTCTTGGTGGGGTGACATCCAAGTATTGAATTTCAAATGTGATTAGAGTCATCGAAAAGTCATCTATTTCCAATTTCAAAACATTTCACTTCCTGGAATGCATGTAGTAGATATAAAATACTACATTGTTGGTTATAGACAAGTCAACATGCAGAATTTTTTTTTCAATTCGAAATTAATTTTTGGGAAAGGAAGTTATTGGCTTTCTATTTCTCCATCTTGATACAAAAAATGTGGTAATCTTCAATATGGAGAAGTAGAAAGCCAAAAACTTTCATTTCCAAAAATTTTTTTTTCATTCAAGTTCAATCATTTTTTCTTCAAGCAATTTTCATGAGGAAAATTTCCATTAATCATTTTTCATGTCACTGGTTTGAGGTTGACCTGATGTAGGTAGTAATAAAAAATAATTTGCGCATTTTGCACAAAATCTACAATCATGATAAAACTAAAACGGTTACGATGCTCTCTCCAATATCAACCATACACTAAAAAAAAATTAATGTTCTCGTGAATCTCAAGCTAGAGGGTCGAAATAAAGTGTTTTGCTTATAACTCAAACTTCAAAACCATAAAGAATGGAAATTTTTCATACAAACATATTATAACCTCTTATGATATTTAATCTGTCACCTGTGGTTTTTCCCTAGGTGGACTATAAATCAAATGACCATTTTCATAACACACTGGACAGCTAAAGTCTATCCAAATCCAAGATAGAGTAAAACAAAACAAAACCGAAGCGTGATTTTCACGTGATCGCTCAGTGTCAGATGGAAAGGGCAGCGTTCATTGGTGAATTCGCCTTCTTGGTACGAGTTCGGTACCAGCACAGGGTTGTAATCAGTCGTTTGTGTGGCGTGCGTTATAGTATATTGTTTAAAATTGTTTTCCAAGATGTCCAGTACAGACACTGCTGATGACACTGTGAGCTATCCTCTGAGTCCAGCCAGGAAACGATCCAAAAAAAGACATTTGAGTGTTGAGATGGAAGAAGTGATGGAAGAAATTGAGACATCGACTGTCGACGAAGTCGTATCCAAAGTTTCCGATGAAATTAGAGTGTATTGCGCTTCGATTTACAATGTTTTACGGGAATATAAACAAAATCATACATTTTCCAAATCGAATAGAAATCAGAATCGTCAAACCATTATACAATCAATAGATGATGCTAATAAATATGCAATCAGGAGGAAAGTGCATGAGTACTTTTTCAGAAATGAAATACCCAGGATAGACAAAGTACTCACAGAAATAAATGAAGATGTTTTATTGCCAATTAAGTATTAAAACATCTGAATTTTGTATGGAAAAAACGAGAGCGCAATAGTTTATCATTGGATAGAGAGGAAATTGTGTTAAGGAGGAGAGAGTATTTGACCAAAATTAAATATTATAGGGAACAACAGAGAACAATTTATTATATGGATGGAACCTGGGTAAATGCTGGTCATACTACCCCTAAAGTATGGGTCGATGAAACTGTGACCTCATCTAGGAGGGCCTTTCTAGATGGACTATCCACCGGATTAACAAATCCATCAGGTAAACTTATATTTATATCAAGACCTGCCTCAATCTAAATATATGAAAAGTAACCCTCGTATTTGTTTCATTCACTTACATACCTCTTCATAGTTTCAGGAAAACGGCTTATTATTTGTCACATCGGCAATGAGAATGGGTTTGTTGCTGAAGGGCTGTGGTGTTTCGAGTCGAAGAAAACTGGAGATTATCACGAAGAAATGAACGGTGAATCTTTCGAACAGTGGTTTTCCAAAGTTCTACTCCATCTGTAGGATAATGATGTGATTGTAATGGACAATGCACCTCATCATTCGCAACGGTTAGAGAAGATTCCGACAACGTCTTCAAAGAAAGCTGCGACCAATGAATATTAGCTTTGAAGACTCAATGCTAAAAGTACAGCTACTAAAAATTGTCAAGGAGCGCAAGCTTGAATACCAAAAATATATAGTCGATGAGATGGCAGAAGGCCAAAACAAAATTTTCTTTCACCTGCCTCCATACCACTGCGAGCTCAATCCCATCGAGTTAATATGATCGGATGTGAAGAATTTTGTAGCTCAGCATCTCAAAGTACTTTTTGATGAGGCTTTGAAAAGAGTCACAGCGGAGAAATGGGATAAATGTGTTCGACATATGATATCGGAAGTCGAGCCAAAGATGATGATAACATAATAGAGGCACAAATCGAACCACTGATAATTGAGATTGGTGAGGATGACACTACTGATGAAGAGACAAATTCATCCAGTTGAATAATTTTGAATAATATTCCATTTGATTTTACATTAAATGAAAATTATCAATAAAGAAATAATTACGTCTCTTTTCATATAATGCTTGAGTGCGCTGTGAAAAATCTTTTTATATTTCACGTATTATCTGCATTTTCCCGTTAAACTGCAAAACTTGTGCATTTCACTCGTTATTATAAAAAAGTTTTCCTAAGTATGATATAGCATTTGCGATTAACAAGAAGGTTGGTTCTGAATACGACCCTGGCAAATTCTTGGGATTTTCAATATCACGTGCGTAGGGCATGTCAATGTTTACATCCACTCTATCTTGGATTTGAATTTGCTTTAGTTCGGTATGAGTAGTTGTATTTGAATCTAAGTAGTACAATGAAATGAAATCCTATTAATTCAGTGAGTGGCTAATATTTTCAATAACCACATTTTCAGTGAGAGTATTCAATAAATTCCAATAACTGTTTTATTTATCAATCGATTGTATCGAATTGAGAACCGTATGTGAAGCTTCACTTCCGTTTAGCATAGCACTCAAAAAAGTGACAAGCAATAGACACATTGTTTGAGCTTTTGGCCCATCATAAGGATGGTGCAGACAAGTGCAAACATTGCCAATACTTGGTTGTCAAAATAACTCTCAATGCACGGAGTCATCAACAGAAGCAAGCCGCACATTTTTTGTGATTTCAGTTGATAGATTTTGTGTTCACAAGAATACTAGTCACATCACTACGAAGGCAGCTATAGCTACCTGCGTGACATCCAGGTCCAGAAAATGAACCAGATATAAAGATTATTGAGTGTCCTGATAGGAATATAGGAGATGGTGGCAAACCATAGATACTTGTTTCGGGCTTTTGACAACCAAGTGTTGGCTATCCTTGCACTTGGCTGCACCATACTGATGATGAGCCAAGTCAGGTGAGGTTTTCTAACGGCACGAATGCATTTTCGGATATTCCGTTCGATAATATTGCACGTTTTCTCTCTTCATTATCGATTGCATTTGACACGAAAAAAGACTTCAACTTCCTAATGAATATATCAAAATCGTGGACATTTGGATTGAATTCAGAATGAATTCCAAACTGCTGTCATTTTCTTTACATTAATCATTATCCTCGTCGCCAACTATAATGTACTTCACTATTTTTAACAATAATACACGGTTTTCATACATTCCATTTAATTTCCCAAATTCAACTGAACTCCTATCTCCTAAGGTCACGGCCCAACGCATGCAAAAAGATATACACTTTTTATCTTCAGATACCGTACAGGTACACATCAATAATGACGATAGATGCAAAATTGATAAAACTGATTTAAATAATTTCAGCCAAATTTGTGCTTACATTCTCAAATATCAAAATGAAAAATTCAAGTTCACTTCTAATCAAAATCTTTCCCCATAAAATTATTGTCAAAAAAAAATTTTTATGTTTTGTAGAGATACTTATTTTCTATTCCAGTCTCAAATTAGTAAGTAGATCAGTTTGTGGTACAAAAACATATCGCTGTCAAACACGGATGTAGCTATCGTCTACTCACCCATCGATAATACATCCTATACAGCGTGACTCACGGTCGGTGGTAGGTTAGACGTTTCTGGAAAACGCAAAGCATGATTTTTCTGAAAATTTCACCTCTCACTTTTCCTTACCTGTTCTATCGATCTAAAATATTTTCAGCATTGCGCTGTTGCCACTTCCATCAAAAAGTCCTAGCAATTTTATTTTTTTGAATGGAACACCCCATATATTAATACATTTTTGGAATCGCTCTGGTATTTCAACACTTTTTTGTTGATAATGTCCTATACCCCTCTCTATCTGTTTTCGAGATAAAAAATAAATTGTGCTAAATATGGTCCAAAACATAGCCTTAATTGAAATTAAGTACATCAGTACTCTCAATTCATGAAAAGTTGATATTTTGATGATAGTTTGGACAAACTCGAAATATTCAAATAACACCAGGAAATCGACTCCATATCATACAGGGCGTGCTAAAATTACTATTATTTCCATTGTGCATGAAAGTAGTCGAAAGTTCATTTTTTTAAATGAAACTCCCTGTATATTACTCGGTAAATTGAAAGATGGTAAAAAATGCTTCAAGATGATATATCATGTCCCTATATCTAAATCGTCAAGTTTTCTCAATAAAGTCGCTTCTTCTAGAAACATTATTTTTTTTAGAATTTGGATTTAGGTAGCAGTGGAATTATCAAGCTTATAGCAGTTCGGTTACTTTTATAAGTTATTCACAAAGAGTTATCGACGGTGTTTCGAATCATCTTCCAAAATGAATGCAAATATCGATTATTCAAACAAAGTTCTTATGAAATTATTCATTATACACATGAACAAAGTAATCGAATCATTATCTGTATCTTTAGAGTAGGGAGGGTGAGTGTAAGCCCACGCACTTAGGCCACATGTGACCCATGATCCCGAAGACGAAGAGGTGTCCTTGTGGGTTCATCTTAACCTCATGATGGAAGGTGCACCATCTTGCTACCTTCAGGTCAGGATTCTGCGCCTTCAGCCGACCCAGCACCCTCTCCTTTTCACCGGATGTCGTCTTGTGGACGTCCTCCGGGATCCAGAGTGAGGCTTTGGTGAATCATTATCAGAACGTGTGAAAAATTTAACCAAATGTATCCTGAATTAACAGCAATGAACGAGAGGAAGTTTGTAAGGTTACAAAATAATTTCCTTAACTATGGCTCAAAGTTTCCAGGGAACAACTGTACCAAAAATCAGTCATTTCTAGGTAAAAAGTAAGATTTTGTGGGCTAGAACATGTGAAAATACAGACAATAACAGAATAGGATGATTCAAAATAACAAAATTGTAAACAAAATATTACATTTTCACAATAAATGCTGAAAATGTTGTCCATTACATTCTTAATACTTTAAAATGTTTTTTATACACGAGTTGTGGTTGCTTTTTCAATTTCCTGGGGATCCAGATCTTCAATACTCCGCATTATTCGCCGTCGCAAATCTTCTTTGGTAGGCAGTGGAGTACTGTATACCCTTTCTTTTAAAACACCCCATAAAAAAAGTCAAGTGGCGTGAGATCGGGTGATCTCGGTGGCCAATCCCACGGCCCTAAACGCCTAAATCAACGATCGTCGAAGAGTTCCTCAAGTTTCCTGGAAACTTCCTGGGTGGAATGAGCTAGAAATATAGGAATTCGAGGAATTCCTATATTTCTCTAAAGGCAAATTTTCAAGAAAATCGGTTACAGTCGTCCTCAATATTTGGAGATATCTCTCTGCATTCAGTATGTCTTCATAAATAAAAAAGCTAATTTTATTGTTCTTCAGAATACAGAAAACATTCAGGTCAAATTTTTCTTGAAAACCCATTTCTTTTGTAACATGAGGATTATGATCAGCCCAAAAATGTTTATTCCTTCTATTGAAAATACCATCCCTCCTAAATTTTGATTCGTCGCTCCAAATTATTTTTGACAAAAATTCCCGATCTTCCTGTGTATGAATCAAAAGAGATTCACAAAAATGCATCCTACGTACGAAGTCTTCTGCTTTTAGAGCTTGAACTTTGGTGAATTTATACGGATGCATTCCGTGATTTTTCAAAATTCGTTGTACTGAAGCATGTGATACACCTAAATCTTTTTCTGCACTGCGAATGGAAGCTTCTGGATATGCATAAAAATATGCCAAAACGTTAACAGTATTGTCCTCATTTGAAGTAACAGGTTTTGGTAATGTTGAAGGCGCTTTTAACATAGAGCCATAGTTAGGGAAATTATTCTGTAATCTTACAAACTTCCTCTCGTTCATTGGTGTTAATTCAGGATACATTTGGTTGAATTTTCTACGAGTTCTGGCAATGATTTGATCACACTCTCCGTGTATAATAAATAATTTCATAAGAACTTCGTTTGAATAATCAATATTTGCATTCATTTTTTGGCGATTTATTGAAACACCGTCAATAATCATTTATCAATTACTTATAAAAGTCACCAAACTGTCATAAGCTTGATATTTCCATGGCTACCTAGAAATCAAATTCTTTGAAAATAATTTTTTGTACAACTGTTATTGAAAATCTCTTTGATAGAAACACTTCAATCAGAACACCTATCAAAAAATCATTTAGAAAAGTTTACACATGCAGTTCGTGCTATTGGTAATATTAAATCCCTGTGAAGTTACTGACGATAACAAAGTAGTATTCAGTCCAACTGTAGAAAGTCCTTCATGACTAACCAATAATCCTCCTTAAAATAACGTGAGTTGACGTATGTAGTTGTAACATATGCCTTATAATCCAAAGATCGTGTGTTCAAATCCCATGGACCCTATAACTTTTTTTATTATCAGCAGTAACGTTATACAAAAAAAATTGTATGATACATTTGTTAAAAGTGATTTTATTTTGCTCGTCCTGATGGCTTTTTTCACTCTTCGAAGTGGATTGTTGGTTGACCTTTGTTGAAATATAAGTGTTGCTATTATTGCTGTTTTTCATAAAATATAGTGTAGAAACTTTCAAAAATTTTACTTCTTTTCCAGGGTACCCTTCCTTCAGAAATTGGTTATCAGAGAATGAGTTCCCATCGTTGGTACTAGATGTAGCTTTTCACGATAATAACCCTTTTGTGAGAAAGGCAGCTTTAAGATGTTTGCAACAAACTATACAACTTAGAGAATGTTGGTATACGTTGTTCAACAACAATATTCTGGTGAGTATTTATTTGGTATGGACTGGTAAGACTGCCAATCTTGTCCTGCGCATTAACTTATTTTCATGTTTTCGTATTCGAGGCCCCTGAACCCCGAATTATTTATCACACCTTCATTTTTCGGACTCTATATATATTTTGAAGCGATTCCTATCTTATTTGAAAGGTTGTTGCTTTTCCCGAACAATTTTTATACTTATCTGTTTACATAGTTTGCTTTGGATTTCTCAGTGTATATCATCTACTTCACCCATTTATATCTATTTCGTGTTCAGTTGTTGAATTCATCCAGAAACTAGACTGAACTACGCCTTCTTTTTTGAAAAATAATCTGAGAATACCGATTTTTGTAAATGTTCCTTCACTACTGTTATTTTTTTGAGAATGATAGAGACATCTATCATTATCATCATTATTATCATAATTATTTGGTGTAAGTGTATTTACTCATTACATTACTCGAAAACAGACCTCAATAGATCAAATTCCGGACCGAAATATTTGTTTCAGGCATCAACCCTGAATATGTTCAAAGTGGAACCAGATAGCAATGTTCGAGCTGAGGCAGTCCATTTATTGAAATCCATATACGAGCACCAGGAACTTTCTGAAGATATGAGGAATACCTTTTATGATATCCTAGCGCATGTAGCATTGAAAGATTCAGACGTAGCAGTGAAAATACAATCGTTACACTTTTGGCAAAGCGTTATAAACAGAGAGTTGACAGAAAGGGGTATGGTCGATGGTGAATTCCCAAGTACTCTTTTTGCGAAAAAAAATCGCAAAATTGTACATTTGGATAGAAAAACTGTGAAAAATATTCTCATCGAGGTCCTGTATCAACTAGCAGTACACAACTGTTTGTTAGTATTTTATGAAGCATTACAAAATGACACCAACTCAGAAGTGTATGAATGTGCCAAAATTCTCATCAGCGACTTTGGTACTTTGCTCGGAAATTATGAAATCACTTCCACAGATTTTACTCCAACCCGGAGTATGTCCACAACAGCACCAATCTCTTATGTTAATGATTTAGATTTAGGGGTCATTATACCTTCAAATAGTTCAATATTTGATGAATGTATAGATTATAGTTTTTTGGATGAATTTGATGATATTTTTGGTGGAAATGAGAATAATGTCTTACCAATAATTACCTCTAACTCTACTAAGACTATGTATCTGAATCCTGTGCAATTTATGACATGTATCAGTACTAAATTCCTAATTAATGATGAAGTAACCAAGGAAGTGGACCACTTTCAACTTCTTTTAGATGAAATGTTTGAAAATATTTAAAGATAAGTCCTGGTTCCAGAGCAGGAGGATGCAAATGAGTAGGCTGTGTTCACAATAAAAAAAATCACTACTTGTGACTACACTGTCATTCTATCAATAGAATGTATAAAAGCAAAAATGTTAATTCACTTGCTATTATTTTACTTTATTTTCACAACATGGCAATAAAACTTGATTTTATACTACCACGCTTTCAATGAATCAGTTCAACTTCAAAAAAAGAAATACTTGAATAATTTGAAGTGAGGAAAATTTATTTCTGAAGACTTTGTAAAATTTCGAAATAATTTTATTACAATTTTTGAAAGCATGTTTTTGCGTATTGGCTTGAGGAGAGCAGTTTATAGCATTTTGTTTCTTTTCGGAACATTTTGATCTCTGAACAAATTTTTACTGGACCTTCAGATGAATGTCTGTTATATTATGCTGAGCTCATTTTTGACCATCCATAATGTGTCTGCTTTCTGTAATCGTGTTCTAGGTATGCATTATTTATTCTCTAATACCTTATTTTGTTCAAATGTTCTCCAAATGGTGTCGACTGTTTCGGGAAAAAACTTTTACTATTATATACATTGTTATATTTTAGGAGAAATTATATAAATCTCAATATCTGAATTGTTTGCTTTCAATTAACCCCCCCTCAACATCAATATTCAGTGCTGAAATGAAAGATATAACTGGAAGCTTTGGCGTAGAATAAACCAAAACAAGTGCTATTACCAAACACCTGAACTGCAACACTCTTCTCGAAGCAAGTTTCACCAACCAAGTTGGCGTCTTCAGGGAATGGAGTACACTAACTCCTTACTCTCAAATTCGTCTCAATGTATATCAAACAGATAACACTTTCGGACACACAATGATTTCTGCTAGAAACTCGCGGGTTGAAAGTTCTTGCTAACTTCAACAGAACGATTCATATAAAGATGGCACTTTGCTATCACCAGACTTTCGAAAACACCATGTAGGTACCGATCCCAAAAATGTCAGATTGTTTTATTTATTCTATGGCCGTTCTGCAAGGTGTTTTGAGGGACAGTGGATGTTTCTGGTCTGCTACATGTTCTTTAAAATAAGTTTTTCAACAGCTCGCTTAGTCTGACCAATGTATTTATTGTCACAGTCCTCTCACATTTCATTTCCTCGATTTTTTATTTTCTAACATCTTTTCTCTAGGGTTATGAAATATTTGTTGGAGCAAGCAAGAAGTTTTGGAAGCTACTCGTACGATCAATCTTTCGGAAATTCGATCCGATCATTTATTGTATTTTGTATTCTCGCTAAATTTACGTTTCCTAATTAGCTCATCAACTATATTCAAAATATACCCTTTGCCTTCAGTAATGACCCTGATAACATTTTTCTCAATATCGTATCTTCATCTCCAAGTAACACACCCGTTAAAGTAACACCCAGTATTTGAGAACTCAGGCTAGCTGTGAGCATAACCCTTTATTCCACCTCGTTTACGTAACCATTTGGTGTATTTGTTTTTTATATTTCAAAGCCGTGGGTTACGATGTCTACAAAACAACAGCGATATTTCGATGTTCGTGATAAGAATAATGAAATCAGAATACCTTTATTAACAATTGAAGTTCTTCGTGAAAGATTGGAAGTTATTCAGAAAGTGATATAATGAAAATTGATTGGAAAAGGAATTCCTGATTAATTTGTCATGAAGTTTGGTACAGGTGACTGAATCACGAATCTTTTTCAAATTAAAACCACTTAAAAATTTCTGTTTGTTTTCCAGGACTGGTTAGAACGTTATGAGTTAAAGTTGTTGAAAAATTTTTGTCCATAATGCTTTTCCCATCAAATACTGTTGATGGTTTCAGTGCCGTTCAAATATAGGTATCCATAATGAGGTAACAAGCAGCATAGGTATTTATCATCTGATGCTTTTTTGTCAAGATTACCACTGAAAATGTTTTTCTGCAATGAACATACAATCAAATTACCGTATTTAAAATCACATGAGTCGGAAGAACCAACGAGATCAATATGTTCCTAGTCACTCACGTTCTCATAGGCATCGTTCAGCGGTTTAACGGGTACGTTATTTTAAATTACTTCACCAGAACATTGATCAAGTTAAAGATTAGTTGGTATGCCAAATTCTTTCCGAAATACAAATTCTATCATTGTGATGAGTTACTGGAAATTAATGTACAGACGAATAAATATCGCTGTTGTTTTGTAGACATCGTAACCCACCCATTTTTATTACACAACGCACCTTTTATATTTTTAAACCAACGAAAAGAGTATGGAAAAGATATGTTCGCATGGAGTGAACTGCTGAAAGTCGATAATCAGAATGAAAGATATTGACTTTATTTGAACTGTCTCTACAAATAACAGAAGAAAACAAAAAAACTGATAAATTCAGCAACTTTCTGCCAGTTTCACGACTCTCTATCTTTCACAATTTGAAAACTTTCATATGGGTATAACCGCATTGAAACATTGGCCAACACCTATAATAAAACTTCGAATAAATATCCTGACGTGTGAAACAATGTACAAAAAAGAGGTTCGCTGTATTTTCAATCCATTAAAAATTAAATTGAGGTATTTCAGAACTATCAGAGTTCATTTATTCCTAAAGGATGTGTTTCCCCTCGAAAAGTAGCTTTCCTATCGGAAAGAGAGACTACTTCATATCATGAAACCCACAAAATCCTCATATTCTATCTACTTGAAGGTATTGTAAAGATTTATGATGATCATCCAGTGCAATGTTTGTAGATGAAAGGAGTCAAATTTAAAGATTAGTTGAAATATAAGTTATAATATTTTGATCCGAATTATTTTTGTTATATCGCAGCCATAGATGTACTACATGTAAAAGAATATAAGAAAAATACACATAATTGAGATAAGATTGGGTTTTGTTTTTATCACCCCAAAGTCCACTAGAATATCCTGTGCTCCGTAAGTGACGAGACAGGCGAAAATCTTTCTTTGTGAAAATAGATCCAAGTAATAATAATACCAACATCTAGCTATGATTGTAGTATTATTCATAATTATTTTGCATACTTTCAGGTGCAGTTTTCGTGGTTTTCATTCGTCTACGAGTGTAGAACACAACTATAATACTGATAATAATTCACTGAATTGATAATGTTGGTATTTCCCCTTCAAGGGGTAGATTTATACTCTGTTATAATAAAATTGCGAGACGTCACGAGACGCCTGGCAGATGTCAAACATCGAAATTATTTTGTACAAGTAATATGCATAAAAGAACAGATTACGACAGAAATGCTATAATGTAAAAATAAAATTTTATGAATTTTTTCCTGAAAATGGTTCTCATTTCACTTTCTGAATTATCACTGATGTAAGTACTGTTTTACGCATGGAACTTTGAGCTGCTGTAGCTCGACAATAATACATTTTTGAGCTTCACACTGGCACTTTTTATTATACTCATCAAAAACTTACCATTTCCCGAATTTCAGAAAATTTGACAGGTATCTAGAAACTCATCAATGTCGTTGGTTAATTTGACTAGCCAACAATTAGAGAATTAACATAATTCAACATAAGCCAGTTCAATCGAAAATCTTGAAAATCTACTACCAATTTTCAGGTACCTGAGCAGGTAATTATCTACTACCTACTTACTTTCAGGTACCTAAGCTGATACTTGGTCGTATATAACACCTCGCTTTGACGAACTTACCAGTAGTGATTCTATCATTATACCTATCTATATCATATGATCAACGAGTTGTGTGCATGAAATTATTGTGTATAGGCAAAGAAATATCTGGTCCGTTGTGAAGAGAAGATTCTTGTACACAAAAACATCAGAAATACAAAGTGAATTGCGAAATGGAGTGCACTAGAAGTCTATTTAGGAACGTTTCTCCACTTCCCAGAAATAACATTGCAGACGAATCGACTGAGAGAGATTCTCCATCTACAAAAGAAAGTCCTATGCAGAAGAAGGATACAGCAATTGGCAGATACAAATTACTCGAGACCATTGGCGAAGGATCCTTTGCACAAGTCAAACTGGCCATCGACGAACTCACCGGTATGAAGGTTGCGATCAAGACCATGGACAAGACTCATCTTAAGCCTGATTCAATGTGGAAATTATATAGAGAATCAAGAACAATGAGAATGTTAGACCACCCGAACATATTGAAATTATTTCGAGTCATCGAAACGAAAACAACCTATCACATTGTTATGGAATACGCCTCGGGGGGAGATATGTTTGATTACATTGTTCGCCACGGTAGGATGGATGAAAGGGAAGCCAGGGCGAAGTTTAGACAGATTGTCTCTGCGGTGGAGTACTGCCACAAGAAGAAGATTATCCACAGGGATTTGAAAGATGGAAACATATTGTTTGATAGCGAAATGAACGTAAAAATTGCCGACTTTGGTTTCGCAAGAGAATTCACCCCGGGAATCAAAGTACATACATTTTGTGGTAGCCTATATTTTGCAGTACCTGAGATGTTTATGAATATTGCATACGATGGGCCTGAAGTTGATGTTTGGTCATTAGGCATCATATTATACTTTCTCGTGACAGGTACTTTACCCTTTAACGGTTCAACACTACCAGAAATAAGGGTGCAAGTGCTTTTTGGCAAATGTCTGATCCCTTCTTATGTGAGCACGGACTGTGCAAATATACTGAATACGCTTTTGGTTAGAGATCCTCTCAAAAGGCCTAACTTACAGATAATCCGGAAAGATAAGTGGTTGACTCAGGAATCTGAAAATTCAAATCCTATGTAGAAATATGAACAACAGGTACACTATCAAGTGCCATTTAATAGTACTCCAGTTGGTCGTCAGTCGAATATTATTTGTGACAGAGTATAGGACATCTCGACGATAATAGTGGGGCTACAGAGGCGGAAAGTCCCCAAAATGGAACAATGGATGCAGATAGTCCACATCATCATCTGTATCAATTTCAAATCGATGAAGATCATCATTGTATCTGATACTTTTTCTCTTTTATTATATCATTACCAATATTTCTTGCATTTTCTATTTCTAATAAGTGTAACGTAGTGATTGTACCTAATCTCTTTCCTTGTTCCAGTTTTCGAAAGGGAAGGATAATATGTTTCCGCCTTCAGTTATTGAGTCTTACTCAAAGAATGTGACTGATGTAGCCGAACAACTACCCAAGAGACTCAAGAGTCGATGCTCAAAATATTTTTGTGATGAACCTTGTAACATTCAATCCATGATATTTCCCTTGCCTGAAATTTCTTGTGATAATTCATGTGGAAGGTGTTTCGATTTTCTATGCAATGACTTTCACTTTTATGCTTTTCTTTAACCGGTTGGGCAATTATTGATGTTTGAGTTTGGAACAAGAAGTTTGACAGCTCCGCAACAATGTTTCGGAGTTTTTTTCAAATTGATGTTGATTGAAAAGAGGAATTAATTAGTAACATAAGGGCATGTAACGAAAGCATTTCACTTCAACATCTTTATTACTCAGCTCTCATGTATAAATTGATTCAATCAAATGTTTGCATTATTCTCCTCGATCCTCCTGACTTATTTCAAAATTTTATAATATGTCTAGGGTAATGCTAATACACGTTTCGGTAAAATTAGCG